GGGAGACAGTGGGCTACAGAGCTCTACAGAGACTGCAGGGTCTCAGTAAACCCTCATCTCCGCAAGCCTCGCGCCTCAAGGCGGAGACATGGCGAGATGCGCCTTGGTCCGCACTCACGGGGTGGGCGGGCTTGGTCTGTTCGGTACACGGCGGGTTGTTGCGATGTGGCAATCACAAAACTGTGGGTGATGATTACGGCAAAAGCGTCCTTGCACCTGTCATAGCCACATAACGAGTGCTGATCACCTCCGCCTATAGTCTAAGGATGCTGTTGTCATTTTTTATTGTGTCCAAAACTCTTGTAAATCTTGCATATGTTACAACTCTCTCTCTCTCTCTCTCTCTCTCTCTCTCTCTCTCTTCTCTCTCTCTTCTCTCTCTCTCTATCTCTCTCTCCTCTCTTCTCTCTCTCTCTCTTCTCCCTCCTCTCCTTCTCTTCTCTCTCTTCCTCTTCTCCTTCTCTCTCTCTTCTCTCTCTTTCTCTCCTCTCTCTTCTCTCTCTCTATCTCTCTCTCTCTCTCTCTCTCCTCTCTCTCTCTCGTTCTCTCTCTCTCTCTCTCTTTCTCTCTCTTCTCTTTCTCCTCCTCTCTCTCTCTCTCTCTCTCTCTCTCTCTCTCTTCTCTCTCTCTCTCTCTCTCAGTCTCATCTCTCTCTCTCTCTTCTCTCTCTCTGCTCTCGTCTCTCTCTCTCTCTCTCTCTCGCTCTCTCTCTCTCGTCTCCTCTCTCTCTCCTCTCTCTCTCTCTCCTCTCTCTCGCTCTCTCTCTCTCCATACATATATATATATATATATATATATGTATATATATATATATATATATGTATATATATATATATATATATATATATATATATATGCATCAATCCTATACAATTTTATAGTTGTGTCTAAAACTCGTGTTGCCGTGATGTGTCATATGAAAGGCAACCTTGCACTACAACGGACCGTGATGGAAGGTAATCATTTGATAGCATAATTTATGAATATATATATATATATATATATATATATATATATATATATATATATACATATGATACGACCTTACAGCATGCACCCCAGCCTGGCTTACATCCGGGAACACACTCTATATGCCATTACATTAAGGTTTTAATCTAGTCGAGTGAGCTCTGTCATTATTCAAATGATAAACGAACATCTCTGCTCGCACGGCGCCGCTGCATGCAAGAGTGGCGATCAGCGTCCGTGCCCTACAGAACAGTTCAGGACTCATGATGTTAACCCGTGCACGTTGCAGCAGATGACAGATAGCACGCAGACAGCATAGAGCATGCAGATAGCCGATATCAGTACCATGGGAGCCTCGAGCAGTCTGTGTGAGAGTAGATTGAGAAGGCATGCGCGGGAGAAAGCAGCGCAGCAAGATGTGGAAGCTGAAATTTTCTCGAAAGATGTACCGAATGAAAAAGATGTCGCGCTGCAGTCTCCGTGATGTTAAAAAGGGAATTCGGAAGTGGCGCAGGAGGTCTTGACAAGAAATCACTGTCTGGGCACGTCTGCGCATGTTGGGAAGAAATATTAAAGTCAGCTGAGACCTTATGTCCCATGCCGATCGACCAGCGTTGCGGAGGGATCGGCCGCTCCTGTCCAGAAGTTCTCACAGCGTACAGCTTTCTAAAGCGTACTTTGGAGAAGCACGCAGATAGCAGAACACCCCCACTAAATTTAGAGTTTTGAGGCCGATTTGAAAATAGCAAGTCGACAATCCCAGGGATCGGTGGCCTCAGCTAGCGTTGTTTGGGACATAAGAGGCAAGGGCCAGCTCGGTGACCAGCATGGCATTCAGGTCACAAACCCCTCTGACGTAAAGTATTTTGTCTGGACGGGCCTAATCCTCTATATTTTGGCTAGGCCCGCGGGCCGTTGTGAACGATTTGTGTTTGGTGGGATTGGGTGTTAGTCGCCATCTGACGGAACAGGCTGTCAAACGATTCAGGTGTGGGATTGGATGTTAGTCACCATCTGACGGAACAGGCTGTCAAACGATTCAGGTGTGGGATTGGGTGTTAGTCACCATCTGACGGAACAGGCTGTCAAACGATTCAGGTGTGGGATTGGATGTTAGTCACCATCTGACGGAACAGGTTGTCAAACGATCCAGGTGTGGGATTGGGTGTTAGTTACCATGTGACGGGACAGGTTGCCAAACGATCCAGGTTGTGTTGCGGCAGCTGCCCGTCAAATGGGTAGACAATTTTGCAAGCAAGTTACGCTAAGGAATTGGTAGTATAAACGTTAAGACGGAGAGGGCAGCCGACAGGGGTTATTTGGGAACATCAGACGGTACTGCTTCCCAGTCGGAAGGTTCACAGTTGACGATCACGCTCTGACGGTTATATGACAGTTACTAAACAAAACATTTCAGTGTGATGTCCCGTAAACGATATGACTGTTCGTAATACTCTGCGTGCTTTTAACCATAGAAAACCTGGGGAGTCATCAATGTGCAAGTATGACATCCGTCTGGTGTTCGTGCGATATATCCTTCCCCGCAGGGGCGGCGCCACCGGCAGGACGGGAGGTCGCATCACCCCTATCACCGGATAGGAGGGGGACAGCCCCTCTATCCTGACAGCATTTTTGCGGGAGAAAATATATTCTTCGCACCGGTGCTCCCTAAGGGGCCAGTTGCCATTTAATAACTTTTGCCATAATGAAGTTCCCTCACGTCGGTAGGATTACATTGCTACGAATACTAGTGTGATGGTTCTAGTACCCCAAAAGACCACTGGGTGATGTTTCCCTTTAGGGCTACTGATCGAGCACAGTTCGTGCCTAGTCTTAGAGTCTTCCGTGCCTTGACCTTAACACTGTAATGGGAGGTAACAACACCTGACACTACATAACATCACGCTCCTGGAACCTATGGATAGAAGGCATTTTTGATGGGAATGGTGGACACTGATATTAAGTGCAGTATCAGCACTACAATGCAATATTCTTCATTCCCCGGGTATGGCTGCTATTTTTGTACGCTCTCGTTAATGACCATGACGTGTATCACTACTTCTACCGTCGCGTTTTTGCAGTAGCTTTAGAACACCAGTAGATGCAGCCCTGCAATTTTTCATATTTTTCTTATTCATTGCCTATTTTGAAACATGTCGTATGAAATTGCTCTGCATGGCAGCGCCATTATCTAGTATTTTCAAACTACATTTTTGGGGGGATTAGCAAATACAAAACAGGGGTGCGGACCGACACGAAATTCTTGGTACCTCTTTATGCATTCGTTGTGTACCCGGGAGAAATTTTGAAGCTCGAAGCAGGTCACTGCGCTCTACGAGGTCAGTCTGAGCTCAAAATCCAAAAATAAGAGCTCTCATCACTTGTTGGAGCATGGACAAAAGTGGTGAATATTGCAAAAGTGTTCTGCTATGTATAGATAAGTGCATGTACTTATTTGGTTTAATCTTTAAGCACTCAATGATCTCAAAATTTCTGGCGCAATGACTTTCAATGTGTGTTCCAGCAATGACTGGCCGGACTGGCAGAGATCAACTTTAGAGCGTTGCTCCTGAGTGACTGAGCTTATTTTCTGGATCATTGCCAATTAAATGCATTCGTAATACACTTAACACCTAGCAAGTTCCCGAACTCTTTTAGGATGATGTTTGAAGTCGTTAATAATGTAATTGAAATAAATTATAGCACTATAACTATCCTATGGTAATGACATAGCCTACAACACTATTCAAAATTGCCGACAATATGCCAAAAAAAGAATTAAAGGACATTCCGGGACATAGGCAAGGACGGGCTAAGGGAAACATGGCCTCTTCAGTCAATAGGCCTATTCAATATACTGGGTGATTTTACAGAAATCTGATCGAAATTCCCAGGATTTTGGAAGAAATTTTGCATTCAGCCTCCGTGATTTTGACAATGTGCATGAAGATTAGTACTGCACATTTCGCGAGGATTATGTCGCTCTATTTTCACGGTGAAATGGACGATGTTTAAGGAGTCTCAATTCCATCCTCCCCCCCCCCCCCTCATCAGTCGAGCACGGGTGTTTTTTCTTTCTAAAGCTTGAATTCGAACTGTTTTGAAAGGATTTTTTCTTAAGATAAAAATATTTTTGGGCAAACGATACCAAAGAAGCCTTTGTCACTGTACATGTACAAATTCATACAATAATACACGATATGGCCGATTGGTCTTCATGATAGCATGCACTGTGCTGAGAAGAAGCTACGAAACTGCGATAACATTTATTCCGCCAGCATGAGACGACGGCGCGTTGGTAGGGAAGCGGTTTTTAGTCGATTGGATTATTACTTTCCAGTTAACGCCCTCGGAGCCAATCCTGTATTTTTAAAAAGTTGTGGTTCTCGCACAAACCTTGCTCCCATCTCCAATTTCTACGCCACCTGCCTTACGGAGATGCAGCGGAAGGCACGTGAGGAATTTCCATAGCAATACTCACTTACGAGAACGCCATGGCTATTAAACGCGTGATATCTCACCCATTTTGTTTTCAAGTGTCGTGATGGTTTTACGACCCCGTCCCGCTATCAGCAATTGATGGCACCATACCTACTCCCACACAATTGATGGCACCATACCTACTCCCACACAATTGATGGCACCATACCTACTCCCACACAATTTATAACAATGATCTGCTACATGAGATGTGTACTGCAAGGCTTCCTGGGAATAACACCATCCTGTTCCATATACAGACCCGGGGGGAAATCACCTTAGGAACGCAGTTAAGTTAGCCTAAGGTACGAAGTTAGCAATACAGGCAACAACGAAGTTCGTGAATGAAGTTTGTCGAAGGCGTTCCGCCCCAGGATCTCTCCAAGGAGTGGAACCAGGGGCACTGGCTGATAATTTGCTGGTCCTTTTGTAACACCCTTGTTTAAAAGAGGACAACTGATACCAACTTCCACTTGTTGGCGGGCTGCATGCGCATACTATGTGCGTTCAGTCACTAAACGTCATAATCGTATTCATATAACCAGCTCAGCGTTGAGTCCCTATGGCATCGTTTATTATAAAAAACAAGTCATAACAAAAAACACAACAGGCCTAGACGTTTCAATGAACAACAGACCAGCATTGAACGTTATCAAATGGACAGGTAGAAAAATAGATAAAACATTTGCTTCAAGTATCTGTAGGAAAAAACAACACATGCAACTAACTGCCAAGATCGTTGAGTGCAAAGGGGCGTTAAACAATCGTCAGGAAGGTCCACGCACGAAACAATTTGCTCTCAACGTTACTCTTGCAGTGAACCGATGAAGGCGACAGTCTTCATACGGCGGTGAAATAACTCCCAGACTATTCAGCATTTGATGCGAAGAATGCAGTTACCTGTTCAGTTCTACGCATAAAGTAAAGGCAAACGACGCATACGGAAATGCCAGAACTAAAAATGACTAAGGCAAGGACAGCAGCGTTCATGAATGTGCTGAAAGACATTGGTCAACACCGTCGCAGTGCTCGGAAGTCATGGCAGCACGTTCACATTGCCACCAGCTGATGAAATTCTGACTAGAAGCACGTGCGGCGAAGATGAAAGCGCGTGGTGTATCGGCTCCGGGAGTCTGCTTCGGCGGCTCCCGCGGTTCCACGCCGCCTCAGTTGTAAGTGGGCACGTAAGGCTCCGGCGCGTATGGAGCAGGCTCCGGCGCGTAGGGGGCAGGCTCCTTGTACGGGCCACCCTTGGGGCCGTGGTTGTACTCGAAGTAGTGCTCTCCCTGGCCGCCGGTCTTGTCGTTCCAGCTGACCTGACGCACCGAAGGAAAGTGTAAGGGGAGCACGGTACAACAGCTTGATGTGTTGAAAATAAAACGTCACAGCGCACTCCCCAGAGCACTTAGTCTAGACGAGATCTAAAAAGCTGCTTCACATATTGACAAACAGGACGCGGACTTAATGCAGCTTGCGCTGTTCGCCACTGGAGGCGGTACAGACATTAACTGTGCCCCGGTTCCTCACCAGTCCTTCGACACGCATCCCGACCAGGTGACGGCTGAGGCGATAAGCCGGCACCGGTTCCGGCCATTGACATAAAGAACACTTGTCAGAGGTCGATCGATTAGCTTTAATCAACAAATCGACGAATGTATAATCCGCTTAGGTTTTCGCAGGTTTGCATAAGCCGATCATCCTTAGTGACAGAACAAGGCCGGCCTCTAAAGTGATTTCACCCAATGATAACCCTGAAACATTGTGAAGTGCACCCAAGCCCCTTCCGCTGAAGCCCCTCCAAGTGCGACACATGCCATCCTTACCTTGGCGCGGAACTTGTGGTCCTTATTCTGCTGGAAGTGGTCGCGGTTGTGGTAGGCGTTGCCCCGATTATAGCCGTGCTCATACTCCTTCGGACCTTTGACGTTGGCGTACTGGAAGTAGCCCTTGTTGTATCCCTCCTGGGCGGCTACCGTGGCCACAAAGGCAGCGAGAATGATAGCAAACTTCATCCTGATGACAGATGTTCTGAAAGCATAAAAACTGCTTGCAATCACTCGCGTTCAGTCGATGGAAACCAGAATAGAGCACCACGCCACGTGAGGGGGAGAAATGAAATATCTCACCGATGAGTGTCTTCATGCCATCATGAAGACACTCGTACGATACAAAAGCGTCGACGAACAGCTGAATGGCACGCTTGAGTCAGGTGGCTCACTGATGCACTCTAGGTTATCCAGAAGCTCCGCCGAGCGACGGTACGTCGGATAAACACCGGCAACGACCGCGAACCGACCCCCAACAAGAGCGGCCGGAGTGCTGCTGAGGACGAACCAGTGAGCATGTATGGGTGTAAAGGAGGAAGGACAGACCACGTACTCACCCTGGCCACGCCGCGGCTCACTCTGGTCCCTCTCTGCCACCACCGCTCCGTTTATACCTGTCGCCTTTCGATCGCCGTGGTTGTCCGCCGGCGCCGGTGCACTTTCGCTGTCGGCTGGCGCCCGCGCGCGGCCGTGCGCGGTGACAGAGAGCGCGCGCGTACCGAACGCACAGCGCGCCGCAAGCAAGGCGGGCAATAGTGCTGCGTTAAGTGTGCTTACAAGCTAGCAATGTCAAGTGGACAGCGTGTGCTGTCAGACATGCAGCATGCGCAGTGTGGAGCTGATGACAGACGCCGGGTCGGGGGACGGCACGCCTCACGTGTCTCTGTGTAGCAGCCCTGCCAGGCACTGTCGGCGTCACTGGCGGCGGCCGGTGCTGTGGTCGGCAAGCTTGCGCGGCGTCTTTAGTTTGCCACTGGCGCCGTTAAGCTGATGAACCCGTCCACCGTCTTGTTTTGATCACAGTTCGCCACATGCTGCCAGTACCGCGTGGTGAGACTCCACGCCGCTCGCAGGCAGCGTTGTCAGCTTTCAGCTTGGCCGCTCTGAGCTAAAATAACTAATTGTCCTTGGTCAACGTTCGCGTCATGGGAAGCGGTTTCCAAAGTGGTATTATAGTAGAGGCAGTATTGCATTGTTTTGCGGCTGGCACATCTGCTTTGCTCATTGGCGTTGTAATCTCGTGCCGGAAAAGAGCGTGGTTTGAGCCGCAGCCATTATGGCAAGCATGGATTTTTGGCGTGCAATCGCTTTGTTACTTTTTCACCTTCGCGTTCACATAAACCACGGCGCTTAAAAAACAACGAATCGCATTTCTTGCAGCAAACACATATCCTGATCATGTGCCTGTCAAAACTTGGAATTTAACTCAGCGCCTTTTTAAGTCCTCGTCTTCTGGATCGGTATGTTCCATGGCACTTACTATCTCAAGCCGATATCCTGAGGGAGACATCCACACCTAAACTACCACTTCAGGCCCATAAATGTCGACAACACGTCACTTTTTTCAAAACCGTTCGGGGAGTGACGACACCCGGGAGCAACAAAAGCTGCCTGTCCCACTTGGGGCCCGTGGAGAGCTATGTCAACACGGGCGCAATTAACACCGTTTGGGGTACGTTCACCCGCGCACCAGCTGGAGTCAGCTGCGCACGTGACCCCAGAACATGGTCGCTCAAATGCTGCCTGTACCTCGGGCGGCGAAAGTGTCCGCCAGGCTGTGGCTCGACTAGACAGCGCCGCAGCCGCGCCGAAAATGGTGCCCGGCCATTCGCGATATACACACGCATGTACGTTATCGTAAAAGTGTATTGGTCGGAAAAGTGCGTTGGTTGGCCGATGCTCTAGCTCTGGCGAGTTCCTGACCATCGCGAAATCGCTCCTTGACAAGCTTGCCCTCAATAGCGGGAAGTCCAGATCTGTCCAGTCCAAAGCTGTCGCGAAGCCGAGAGCTTTCCGTGTCGGATGTGGTTAATGGAAGTGTTCCACGTTTGTATGGGGTTATGATCTGAGATAGCCATTTTGGAGATCATTCGGTGATATTTACGGTCCAGTCCTTCTTTGGACTTTAAACCCTCTGGGTTCTGAGCTAGACGCCCGCGAACTTGCACAGACGTTCTCAAGCAGACTATTTCAAGGTCACTTAGGTCCGCATAACGCCGTAGAAACGTTACTCGAATGCTGTCACTGCATTGGCCATGGGGTGTCCAAGGCCAAGTCAAATATGATCGTCGAAATATTTGGCCCGGGTTACGTGCTTACGATTTCAAGAAACAAAGTCGTTCAATTGGCTTTCAACCAACGTTATGCATTCATTGTAACTTTCAAACACGAAACACGTTTTGGGCTACATAATACAGAAAGTTGTACAGTAGTACCAGTTATCACGGAACTAAGACTTGTAATAAAATATCATAAGAATACTGCCATAAGCGAAGAGTGAATGCAAGTGAACAAGATAAAATCACGGATTAATATGCAAGAACACGACAAGACAGGGCCAAAACACGCTCGCACAGCGATATTTGGGTTTGGAAACGCCACACTCATTGCCATGACACCTCTCGAGAAGTTGAAATACAACAAGTGAGTCAGCCCGTCCGCTAGGGCGGCAATTTCGCACGGGCATTTTGGAAACCCCTCTGACGTCAAACAAACGTGCCATGACATAGTCAAGCGATGCAAAGTTTCTAAATGAGCTGAATGGCTAGGCCAACGAGCTCGTCCGTTAGGAGGAAGATCTCCGATGAGCTATTGCCAGGGACTCTGATGGGTATGCAGGACTTGCGTGTTACATGAATGCGCGCCGGCTCCTTTGCCTACGACAAGCTAAGAAACATGAATTAAAATGTTCTGCGATATCGATGAACACCAGCGTCGCCTATAGTCACGATGGCATGACGTTTCATATTGCCAGGGACTGCCCACCAGTACTTATGCCAGCGTTACTGCATATTATCAACAGCAGTTACTCTGGGATACTGCCATGTAAGTGGGAGACATCACATGTGGGGCTGGATGTTGGATGTTTCCATACTAGGCGGCATGGATCCAGTCTCGCTCCTTCCCATAGTGCTTATGCTAAAAGAGATACTGGTGTGCAAGTAGCCATACACACTTGCCAAGCCATCGCATGTCTTGCTATCTCGAGTTAGCGCGGGACGCGATGGAAGTAATTTAACTGAGACGGCAGTCCTGGCCACTTCAGATGGCATATTCGACCCATGGATGTTGGCTAAGTAGTGCTGATGAGATTTGCTCAGGTTTAAAAGGCCTTTGGCCTTATCCGTCAGCACTTGCTTCTGAAAGCACTGAAGTTTCACGGCGTGTGGCGGTCATGACTAACCGAATACCCTTAGCGCCATTCGCAATATACAAGATAAACTCGAGCGGTGGCGTTTGCCCCGATGCTTGAAGTGGTTAGCAGGGTTCGTCCATGGAGAGAGTAAGACAGCGAGAGAGAGAGAGGGAGAGAGAGAGAGGAGAGATAAAGAGGGAGAGGGAGAGGGAGAGGGAGAGAGATCACATATATTATGTACATCATGTGAATATGTCTAGATGCGCGCCGTTTGAAGGTGCCCCTGTGACGCCATACAAACGTGTCAGGACGCAATCAAACCATGACGTAGTGAAAAACTTATTCACTACATCATTAAATTGTGTGTACATACATTTATATTTATAGATATATTTATATATATATATATATATATGTATATATATATACATATATATATATATATATACACTTAAAATGCTGCTACAAGTCTTGTCAAATAGTTAGTACTTTTATTAGTCATATTGCATATCGTATTTCTCGTTTCACTAGTTAACACATCTTTCATTCGCTTAGTTTGCTACTCTAGCTGCCAGTTATAACTATGTGATGAGGAATAAGGCTATCAGCACTGTCTCATGACGTTTTTTTATGACACCGTGCCTTGCCTGGACATCATGTCATACGACTGCACAGAGGTGCAGAGAGATTCTAGTCCCTTTAGCCACCACATGATCGTCATCTGATGGCAAACAATCAAATTCCTCAGACGTTGTAATCAACAGAGCCGCCGAATGTGCTCTTCTGCTTCACTACTGTAGGCGCAGCGAGGCTGATGCTTCGTCGCTGATGCACATGTAGCTAACCGCACACATTAAACAAAACAATGGGCAATGAAGGCGTTCCGCCAGAGCGATAGGAAAATCAATTGTTTTTGCGTTAAGCAATTCAATATGTGTTGCACCCAAACTAACCCACGTAGCGTAAAGGGGGATAATTTGAGCCCGTTGGTAAGCTGATCAAATCCATACATCTTCAGTTCCAGGACTCCATTGTTTCCGAGCGGCTGCCTGGTGGTACGTTTGATAAGCTCGGCCTTACCTGTTTTGACGCGAACGGCGGCGGACGGGTGACGAGTGTACTCTGAACATTAATATGATTTTTAGCCCATTTATGTCGATATTTCCGCGAATGTGTGCTGTGTTCCATTGACTTTGGTATTGAAGATATCATTCGTTTGCTGACTCACATGTATTTGGCCATGTCTGCTGCTGAAATCGTCTTAGATTTCGCGCGGCTGAGCTTCAGAGTAAATCGTGAGTCATGCTGTTTTATTTGTCATGTAGTGGGCCAGCTTGTTCCAACACAGATGTGGGTAAGATAATCATGGACAACTTAACCCACTACAGAGGCGGCACACCAGAGCCTGCGTGTCTTGCTCGTGCCAGCGCCTTCAACAAGCACATGGCGAAAACAATTTTTTTTTTAACTTGGGAGAGGCATGGGAGAGCACACATTTTCGCCGGAGGACAGTTATAACGCTGATGGGACGGGCGTAATCACAGTGCAGACGCCAAAAGTAGTAGTGGTGAAAACGGGATCGAGGTAGGTGGGCTCCGTCACTTCCACGGAAAGAGGAGAGCTGAGCACACTGGTTTTATTCAGCCACCGCCGTCGGGAATTCTGTCCCATCACTGATCATGTCCCCTGGAGTGAACTTCAAGAACCACTTCCTGCGAGGCGTACCTACCGACACTGTAGGATGTGCAACGAAGGGGATGGGTAAACGAGGATATATTCCTCAAGTACCTCAACCAGGGGCGCAGCCAGAACATTGGCAAGGGGGGCACAGGGTCGACAAAGGGCCCCTGAAAAAGTTAGTAAAAGTTAGTAGTTAGTAAAGTAGTGAAGTAGTAGTAAAAGTAGTTAGTAAAAGCCCCCCCAAGTCAGATATGGCCCATTTGTTTTTGAGAGCACGTTTTTGTCTGATCACACACACACACACACACACACACACACACACACACACACACACACACACACACACACACACACACACACACACACACACAACACACACACACACACACACACACACACACACACACACACACACACACACACACACACACACACACACACACACACACACACACACACACACACACACACACACACACACACACACACACACACACACACACACACACACACACACACACACACACACACACACACACACACACACACACACACACACACACACACACACATATATATATATATATATATATATATATATATATATATAAGAGATCATCTTACTGATAAGAGATTATCGTAACGACTTTTGAGATCACACCCATATGGGTGCGGGTCCTTTCTGTGACCTTAATGTGACTTAATGCCAGCCCTTCAGGCCCTTCAGTCACCCCATCGGGCCCTTGATCTTTGGTCTCGAAAGACCCTTCCGCCCCTCTTCGGGCCGCCTCAAAAGCCGCTCCAACTCGGGTTCATTTTCCGCCGCAGGACCCCTGCCCGGCACTGAGGCCCCTGACCGACACAGGAGCCCCTCATTATGTCAGACTCCGAACATTGAAAATTGCGGACCCCGGCCTCCTTTCTGCTTGGGAAATGGGTCTCAAGGGCTTAGAAGGACATGGAGCCGATTGTTCGGTGTTCGTGGTCTCTGACCGACTTACGAAGCCGCATTGTCTCAAGGGTCCCTAAAACGGTGCAAGGGAACCTCTGACTGATATTTCAGGTCACGACCCTACGGACCACGATTATTTTTATGACCTACAGCCAGTCCCCCAAGCCCTTATGTTCTCCAACCGGGCCCTTGATCGTCTGCTCCGGTGGGGCCGCCTGGGCCCCTATTGGGGCCTCATAGAACACTTCTCCTGGTCGGCTCGGGCCCTTGCGAGCATGGGGCCCTCTATTAGGCGCTGTAGGCCTCTGACAGATACATGGCCCCAGGCCGGTGTAAATCATTGGTCCCGGCTTTATAGCTGATTGGGAAGTGGGTCCTACCGGTACGGAACCGACTTTGTGGTACGATGGTTCCTAACCGACAGATAGGCTAATATCGGCTTAGGGGGTCCCTGATTGGCGCAAAGAGCCCCCTGAACGGTATTTGAGGGTCCGTCTTTGCCAGGCGGGGCCCCCTTAATAAGACTCCAACCAACCCCCTATGCCTTTAGACCCTGCAATTGGGCCCTCGATCGTCGGACCGGGTGGGCCCTCTATGCTCTGCGGGCCTCCTCGAACACTGCCTCTGGCCGACTCGGGCCCCTTGATAACACAGATCTCCTGTCGGGAGCTGTGGGGCCCAAGCAATGTAAATCGCTGGCCCCAGCTTTGTCCCTGCTTGAGAAATGGCCCTTAGGTCCATGCCGTTACGCAACCGCCTGTGCGTTACTAGTGGTGCCTGGCCGAACTATAGGCCAGAAATATAGGCCTCAGTGGGCCCCTGATCAGCGCACAAAGCCCTCTGGCTGGAATTGGGGTGCCCGGCGCTGCGGACCGGGCCCCTGAATGAGACATCCGACTGGTTTTCAGGCCCTTTGGGCCCCCAAATCGGGCCCTCAATCGTAGGTTTCGAGGAGCTTGAAGGGCGCTCGGAACCTGTGCCCCCTCCCCCTGCCTGTGCTAATGACTTCACCAAATTTGAAAAATTCGCTCGGTGTTCGGCAGAGTAACACGTCCTCCTCATCCTGGACAGCCACGCCTCTCACGTCTTACTTTGGACAATTGAGCTCCCGCAGGAAGCGGGCGCCACAGGCGCAAGACCAGGCAACGTCCTGCAAGGTGTGGGAACCTCCGTTGCATGACCATGTAGCACCCTGCAGGGAGCGGGCGCCTCCGGTACAGGACCATGTAGCACCCTTCAACAGACTGAGCAGGGGTCCGCTAGAGCCGTGCTCAACGCACCAGTCACCTGCGTTGCAGTGGAAGCCATATTACCCATATCAAGGGTTCCACCACGAAAGAGTGGAACACCAATCGTAATCGTAAGTCGTAATCGTAAGCGAAGATGATCGATGGTACTGACGTGGACTCCCAAAAAGCAACGACTCCACCAAGAAAACAAAAACAAAGAAAAAAATGAGAGCAAGCCGCAATGCGGGAAAACAAGGGACAAGGCCGAAAAGCGAAGCGGAAGTCGACGAAGACGTCTTTCAACCATGAAAGTGATGAAGATGAGGATGTGCATAACATGTCATCGTGTAAAGGCCAGGACAATCGATGCCTTCTCATAGATGACAAATTCTGCCGACCTGGCCACACTACGAGGAATATATTACCCCACCCACGGGGCCAGATGTACAGTCAGACGCAGCCATGGAAAGCTAGAATTTGCGTTCATTATATAGAAAGTTACACGTATCACTGCTATCCTGACATTTGCGTGAAATTTTACATTTTCATCGTGTATAGTCAAAAGCTGAAACATTTCCACTGATATTATCACAGGCCATCAAAATGCAAAAAATGACTAACCACACGTTACTTTACTCTACAGAGCCAGCCGGTGACATGCCATCTAGGTCACCTTTTCTATATACACAAAAAGCGTTATGCATCATAAACACCAGGTGTCTCGAAGAGAACTATGCCACCAGTGCCATACTACTACTTTCAGTTATAGCAAAAGGTATATTTTTCAACAAAGATATTCTAGTGACTTTGGTATGAACTGCTCTCTTCATTATATTTGTCGGATTTGCGTGGAGCATTTCTACTGCTCTGCATGTTAAGCCAATCAAATATCATAGCGATAAAATGTGTCGTGTTGATTCAGGGTCCGTGATACTACATGCTCATAATGGTGGTCCGTCGGCTTTATCACATCCTAATGCGCTTGACGAAATCGTTCGCAGGTTTACGCACTGAACGATGGAGGTCGCTCAAATCTCCTATCTTTGTTGCCGCCGGGCTCTCCGGGACTATCTGCGGCTGTCTTCATAGACATGGTTCTCCAGGTAACCTCACAGAAATAAGCCCGGATGCGACAGATCAGGGGATGAGCCACCCGTTCCAGGTCCAGTCGGCGAATGACCACGTTGTCACCGAAGTCATCCTGAAGAACATGAACTCGCTCAATGTACCTATATCCTCCGTCCAGCGGCCCATAAATGCGCTCAGGACGGTTACCCGTATACAAGGGAACGAAAATACGAGTCTGAAAATCAAACGGATATCATTTAGAGCTCTTAAAGGACACCAAGTCGGCAAGGACAACACCATGTGAATTCATTCATCAAGCTCGACATATATTCAGATTCACGTCCAGATCGATATTTGCCCGAGAGAAGACCTTTGATCAGTCGAAAAAAAAACCTGCACGGAGATGCAACGCGACCCCCTGGCCGCATCGATAACAAGTAAGACTGATACGTAACTTCTCATAAGTCTTGCTCCTAAGGCCGATTGACGGCATTGTAGTGGGCCTATGGTCATCATTTAAAAAGACTCGTTCAAATTTCGAGGATCTTGTGTAAATATAGATACTGACCTCAACACGACGAGCGGAATAAATGCCACAGCCAGACCTGTTACAGGACCAATAGCTGGACAAAGCTGGGAACGGCGGTCTGAATATGAATCTGAATATGTTGCAAACTTATGTATGTAAAACGTATGTCGAGTGGTAGCACTTCTTGGCAGAATACTGGATCAGCCCCTGGTTCAGTGGCAGGGGCAGATACCTACGCGTATACTCACCGCTGCCGCGTGATGCGTGTGCTGTGCATGCCGATGAAAAATGATAAGCTTAAATATAAACGGAACAGCGCACATATTATTCATTGCGTGCAATGTGCTATTTTCACGAGGATCCACGCAGCAACAAGCTTATGCTGAACCGCAGGGTTGCCTCAATCTCGCTGAAGAAAACACTTTCACCACGCCACGACACGGCGCCACGTTCCGAGTTCTTATTAAGCTTTGAATTGTATTTTGTGGTTCGCCATAACATACCAATTTTATAAGTGACCTGCAGAATTATATCTGCAGAAATAGTGAGCTTTGTGGCTGACATAATAAATTGCTTTGAGTTTTGGACCGTAGTCAAGAGTGTACACTGAGTTTGGTGGATGTAAATCCGCCTGATTTACATCCTTCCGTGGAAAATATCTTGATTTTGTGCGTATAAACGTTAAGTTTAATCCCACCGAAATTATGGGGGCGTTACACCCATTCTGACAGCCCAAGGGGACGCGTCTATCTCACCTCCCCGTCCTGTTGATGCGCCTGTTATACCCCCGTCGCAGGGGCAGGCGCAAAAAGTACTTTGTCCTTCTCACTTTTGTCCCCATTTGGTAGTATACCGACTGCGACGAGGGGTGCGCACCGCTGCAAAACCGGCATTTTCGCACGACACCGTCCCGACCCTACACAGCTGTCTCAGCGGATTTGGGCGTGCGGGTGGAGGGAGTATCTTCGTCATTGTTCAAGTCGAATGCACTCGCTGTTGGGCGGCGTGAGTAGGGATTTTGTTGTGTGCATTGGTGAGTAGTGGTTTTGCATTTTGCTCGTGAATTTGCGTCGACTTTTATGCCGATGGACCCTGCTCCGTGTATTCAGAGAGTGAAGACTGGAGCACTTTGGCTCTTCCTGCTTCAGTGCATTGCCTGAGCCTAATATTTATTTTTGCAAGTACTGCAGGGACCAGCGCCAAGCCCAAGCATCTGCGCTCATTTAGCAGTCTATCTCTTGCATTTTGGCCTTCAGCATAACCGTTGTAGGCCTTTGTGTCATACCATTGGGTGCACTGTATGGAATAAGCCATCTTCCTTTAAAAGTGATTTTGCTTCAAAAGATTTGCTCAAATACGACTTTGGTTTTGCTGATCTGACTGATAGTTCACATGCAGGAAGGTTTGAAATGTATAGGTATGACTGCATATGCAATAAAGGGTGCTGTCAAAATATCACATCCCTAGTATGTGACTGACTGGATTAGGTTATCCATTCATTCAGGCAACATACCTTGTCCCACCAGGTTTGCTCTCAAACACAAATTTTCCATGTTTTCCTATTAGAAAAACACATTTTAAGTCAGGCCATCCCCAGATTGTAGTTTGATTCCCCCAATCACAACTGCAATGGATCAGGTTTGCTTTCTCTCAGCAGAATAGTTGAGTAGAAGCTCGGTCAAGTGATTGCGCATTCCCAGTGTGACAGATCTGATACGTTATGGGAATGCCTTACATCTAGCCTTTTATGGTATCATTAATTTTCATGCCATGAAATATAAAATATGACTATTATTGGCAAGAAAGTAATGTTTCTTACTCTCCTGAACATGTACCTAAAATAATAAACACACCGCCCATCAGGCTGATTGTTCACCAATCACGAGTTTTTGTAATTTCTAGTCAACTTAAAATGTGTCACAATGCAACCAATCATGTCATTTCCTGACAGATAGAAATCACCTATTAATTGAAACAGGCCTCCTAGCTATGGCCTTCACAAACATGCTTAAGCTGTCCTTTATTATAATGGATTTTATGTGTGCTGGATATCCAATTCAGACAGGTATAAAAATATCCACTGATTGCTTCAGAAAGGTCACAAGAGGTAACTTTTTAATGGACATTTCAGTGGATCTTCAAGTCAAAGCCCTAAGATTGGCATCCACACCATGTGCAACACTGCTTATGGTACTGATTGGAAGCACTGATCAGTGCATATGTTAGCACTGATTCATCATGTTGAATCCAGCTGCAGAGATTTAATGGCTGGCATTCCTGTGACTCAGATGGTAAGCTTCGGGCTGGCCTGACTCATTGTTTTTTGGGGTTCCTGGACTGTGTAGGGCAAACTAAGTGCTTTGTCAACCAAGGTATGTTGGAGAAATGCTGACATCTGGCATGAGAGAACCAGGCAAGGTATGATGGATCAGGTTTGCATGGAATGGTTGGATCATATCATGGCATGGCACACAAAGGTACCTAAGCATCAGTTGTACTGTGTGGCAGAAGAGGGCCTTTGGTAAAAGTTATGTTAAACTGGAATGACTAAAACTCACTGGCTGTCTCAGAATGCAAAACTTGACTTAGAATGTGCTATAAACACAAACCATCCTTGTGAGACATATATTAGTAATTCCTTAAGCATTTACTGGGTGTGTTTTAATCTGGATCAACATGTTTTGTCACTCAGATAGTATGGAAGTATATGGTTGACAGTGCTATGCAATGTATAACACATGATAATTGTGTTATGCACAATTACATGCCATGCCAAATACCAGTAACTTCAAACTTATACCAATGGGCTCTTGTAATCAATCTGTATGTGCAAACAAATGATGGTGCTGTATTGAGATATTGTTTTTAGGTTTGAATCCCTGCTAACATAATTATTTTTTACAGGTACACTTAAAAACCTAATCCACTGGTAAAGGACTCACAAAATGTAAGTAGAATGATGTTGCATTGGTTTTCTGTGACTGATATAATGCATTTGTATGTAGCTGTTGAGTGTTTGTTCTTTCACAACCCAATGCACATGTTCATTTATTGTAGAAAACTGGCATTAATATGAAATCCTTGCATACTGTTTTTGTATATGCTCACCCTGTGACTACAGTTGCTGCAAACTTTGTGCATTGGTGTGGTACCAGGTATTGCAAAACATTCGTTGCTTGGGGCTAGTTGGAAATGACGTGTTTGTTGGGATGTGTACATGAAAAGGAAAGTGGAAATCGTAAACATGCAGATAAAAATTCCCCATATTATGGCAGTTTACAAGGACTGCTTTTTGCAAATGATGCAGAGTGAAGATTTGCACATCTGGCTCTGATGGCTGGCATGAATTTTGTGATATCATTTGGTGCTTTGATAAGTGGGCAACCCGTGGGTATTTCCCCTCGGAAGTGGTGTCAGTTGCATGGGTGCACGGAATATGTGGTACGGTAACAACACTGAGGACACATTTTCCCCATGTACGAAGTCTAAGCTGCTGATGAGACACTGGCAGCACGTGCATGGTTTTAAACGGTTCATGCGTTAATATGGACCGGTTTAAGTATGGCCGCGTTGGACCTGCGGTCAGCACATTTGTCAGCCCCAACCACGGCCCATTATTTGCCCTACGTCCGGCCACGAGACCACAAAGTCACGTGGTCTATGACGTCACGCGCCGGCTGACGATACCGGGGCCGCGTTCGATCTGCCGTCAGCGTGTTTGTCAGCTGGAATGCGTGACGTCATGCATGCTGACGGAGCACTCGATGTATGGACCGATGGGAAAGTTTTTAAACTTCACTTTCCTTTCTTCCTTTACCCTTCACTTCAGACCAGACACCAGCTCTTGCTTACCGTGCGACCATGACACACTGGCTATAAAGTGTTGTTTGAAAGTATGGCTCGTGGTGCGGAGTTACCATCATCTATCCCAGCTGTAAGTTGAATGCTTCCTCCCATTTCCAATTTGTTTCAGTTTCTTTCCCTTCATTTTAAGTGGTCACCTACACTGCTATAATTTTACTGCAACCACACACCACACGAATATCACTGTGATGCACCATTGCATGGTTGCTCTTCGCAGCGTAATTCCCTCCATATCTATCTTCGTCGCATTTCCCCAAAATTAGAGACAAGTGCCCCCACCCCACCTAACGTGCCCGCCAACGCAACGCAAGAGCAAGGGCGCCTTCGATCTGTCGTCAGTACGTTTGTCAGCACCAATCACGGCCCTGTATTCGCCCTGCGTCACGTGGCGGGACCAGGGGGGTGTCGTCCGTATCGTTTAGCATTATCAAAAAGTGGCAACATCGAGCTTGCGTGGGAATAGAGGTGATTTGGAAGCAAAGCCTACATGACGTGTATACCATATTTGATGACGTCAGTGGCACGGAAGCCTCTCAGTTAGCCAGCTGACTGCTACACAACCCATTAGTTTGAATGGTGAGTATGTTTTGGGGGCGTGCGGCTGGCGCTTCCCGGTTGGATTCTGAATGAATGGTCCATGGTTTTGTCATGCAAACACAATTCTGGAGGGGAAATTGAATATCGGAACAGTTTAACCTCATCGGAATTTTGCATTCTTCCGTGGGGTGTACATAACTAGGGGTTAAACGTCATGCGGCGTTTCTAGCGCATCGCGTATCGCAGTTGTTTGGCGCTTCATGTCGGAGGTTTGCGATCAGTTGCCATGACTACGTCTTGCACGAGAGATCTCTTGTGCAGTTTGTCTTGTACGATTGGTAGCATTTAAAATGCTCGGTCTGTGAATATTTTATTATGCATATGCGTACAACCCTTAGGTAGAAAACACTTGACTGTAGCATCATAAGGCCAATAACACAGGGTTTTACTGTACTTACCTTACTGTACTCACATCACTGTGATAAGAGGAGTGGGAGCTATTACAAATCAGTATTGCAAATGGTCATATAATCATACCTATAGACAGAGCAAATTATGCAAATTGAGCTGTTCAAATCTGTCACCAGGCACAAAAGGCACAGACAAGCCTAAGGCTACCTAGCGACAAGCCGGCCTTGGGACAAGCTTGGTCATGGAATACAGCACACCACAAACGCCTGACATATAACCCCGAGTTATATCATCATACATGCAAAAATCGTACATTTTGATAAGGCTTAACTATTCCAGGACTCGCTATTCATTCCAGAAATGTGTGCCAGTAGCGAAATGACGGATAACTTCTTCTCAGTCCAACGGGGAACCGCCAGCCGCACGCCACCAAAACATACCCACGATTCAAACTAATGGGTTGTGTAGCAGTCCGCTGACTAGCTAAGAGGCCTCCGTGCCACTGACGTCATCCAATATGGCATACTTGACGTCATGCAGGCTTTGCTTCCAAACTATCTCTATTCTCGCGCAAGCTCGATGTTGACACTTTTTTGGACCGGACGGTTCTACCTCGTTAGATAGCCTTGGGCGTGACCATAAAGTCACATGGTCTGCGACGCCACGCGCCGGCTGACGATGATTGCAGGATTTTTTTTTGTCAGCCCGTCAGCATGGAGGCAAAGCGCCACCAGATTAAAAAATCACTCTGACCGAAGCGAGAGTTTGATTTAGTAGCTCTTGCTTGAGCGAAGGCTGCGTTCGATCTGTCGTCAGTACGGTTGTCAGTGTGGTTGTCCGCCCGTCAGCACGGAGAGAAGCGCTACCATGTCAGAAAATCACGGAAGCGGTAGTTTAATTTGGTAACTTTTGCGGTGGCGAGTACGTTAGGTGGGGTGGGAGCACTAGTCTCTTATTTGAGGGAAATGCAACGTAACATAGATAAGGAGCAATTGCAATGCCAAAAGCAGCCATGAAAATGTGATTGACAGCGGTTGGTGTGGTGTGTGGTTGCGTTGTCTAGTAAATTAAAAGTGCTACAAGTAAACATCTAAAATGAGAGGGAAGAAATTGAAATGAACTAGAAATTGGAAGAAGCACTCAACATACGGATGGGATAGATGATGGTAATACCGGAACAGAAACCATACTTCCAAACACCACTTTATACGTAGTGTAGGTAGTGTGTCATGGTTGGCGGTAAGCCAGAGTTAGTAGAGTTAGAGTTAGTCTGAAGTAAAAGGTAAATGAAGGAAGAAAAGTGAAGTTAAGAGACTTTCCCGTCAGCCCACACATCGAACGCCCCGGCAGCAAGCGTGACGTCACGCATTCAGCTGACAATGGTACTGACGACAGATCGAACGAGGCCCAAGACAAACTACCGCTTCTGTCATAGTAATTTTTTAATGTGGTGATGTAATGCTTTCTGTAATGCTTTCTGGTAATGCTTTCTGTCCATGCTGACGGGCTGACAAAAACCTTGCGTCATCACCAACCGGCGTATGACGTCACATGCCACGTGACTTTGTGGTCACGTGGCGTGACGTAGGATCAATCCTGGGTCGTGATTGATGCTATCGATCGTGCTGACGACAGATTAAACGCGGCCCAGGATTTTTTGGCCCCGTTCGATCTGTCGTCAGCGCGATTGTCAGCTAGAATGCGTGACGTCATGCGTGCTGAGGATGCGTTCGATTCGTGGGCTGACGGGAAAGTTGTTTACCATACTTTCCCTTTTCCTTTACCTTTTGTTTCAGACTGCACACTAACTCTGGCTTACCGCTGACGCACTACGTACAAAGTGGTGTTTGGAAGTGGGACTTTTGCTCGGGTATTACCACCATCTCTCCCATCCATATATGGAGTGTTTATTCCCATTTCCAATTAATTTCAATTTCTTTCCTCTCATTTTAAATGTTTTCTTATAACGCTATTAATTTGCTGGGCAACACAATCATATACCACACCAGTCAGTCGCTCACCTTTTCATGGCTACACTTGACATTTGAATTCCCTCCTTATTTATCTCACATCGCATTCTCTCCCAAATATGGCTACATTTGGCAAAATAATGCGCATAAGTGCCTCCACCTTACCTAACGTAATTACCGACGCAAGAGCTAGCAAATCAAACTCGCTTCAGAGTGATGTTTTAATCTGGTAGCGCTTCTTCTCCATGCTGACGGGCTAACAAAAATCCTTGGATCATCGTCAGCCGGCGCGTGACTTGACAGGCCACGTGACTTTATGGTCACGTGGCGTGACGTAGGGCGAATATTGGGCCGTAATTGATGCTGACAAACGTGCTGACGACAGATCGAACTTGGCCGCCGTCAGCCTGTCAGCATGGGGAGAAAGCACTGCCAGATTGAAAATCATTCTGACAAGGAAGTGGGAGTTTGATTTGGTAGCTCTTGCGTCAGCGAGTGCGTAAGGTGGAGTGCGCGTTTTGGGCTCTTGTCTCTAACTGGGAGGGGGCTGGGAGGGGAATGCGACGTAAGATAGATGAGGAGGGAATTGAAATGTCAAATGCAGCTATGGAAAGGTGAGTGACAGTTATCGCCATGATGTGCAGCTGCGTTCCCCAGTAAATCAGTAGCGTTAATTAAACACTTAAAATGAGGGGGAATAAGTTGAAATGTTTTCGGAATGGGAAAAAGCACTGAACATACGGAAGGGATGGATGATGGTAATACCGGAACAGAAGCCACACTTCCAAACACCGCTTAATAGGTAGTATGTCATGGTCGGCAGTAAGCCAGGGTGTGTGGTGTGAAGTAAAAAGTAAAGGAAGAAGGGAAAGGAAAGTCAAAAAACTTTCCCGCGGCCCACACATCGAACGCTCCGTCAGCACACGTGGCGTTATACATTCCAGCTGACAATCAAGCTGACGACGGATCGAACGGGGCCTATATGAAATACCAGTGACGTATGCGGAATGTTGCAGTTGCGGGGCGACAGCTGAATTCTTCCTGAAAAAGCGATGTAGTGCGCCGGGGGCGCGCGCAGCTTCCTGCACGGCGTAAAAGCACATAGAATGTTTCCACTTCTACTAACTTTACATGGCTACATCCATTCATATTGAACTGTATTTTT